TATGAACAGCCCTTGAGGAGTCCCAAATATCAGAACAATCTAAACAAGCAATGAAGTCATGTCTCACCATATAGGGTCAGGAGTACAGCATCCATCACCTTCACAGGCCAACAATACTTCACAACCTTTAGGGTTCGTGCTCACAAATAGTAGTAAATACTTTTAAACTAAATAAATAACTGCTGTCAAGTTCACTTACAGAAGCAGTATGCCATCTTCTCCAGAGCTGTGTTAACGAGGGTATCCATTTCCATAAGCCATCAGGCTGCTGTGTTACTCCCCCCTCCCTTCTAATTAACACAGGTAAAAAACATTCACAACAAACTTTGCTTTCAGTATCTGAATCCAAATACGAAAGAAGCTCGTTATGCACTTTTTGGTTGACCTTCTAAAAAGCAGAATTAAACCCAGCAATATGGACATGGTGCTTCCTGCTCCCTATCTCAAACCCCCACTTCCAAATCTCTAGGATTTTCCTTGAAATTTTTCTCTCACGTTTAGCCAGTAGAGAGCCTGCCATAAACACATGGAGGAAATAGTTGCCACAAAATGCTCTTACTCTACCATAGCCAATACAGGATATGTTTAACCCCACTGATGTTATGAAATGATAAGAAGCTCATTTTCTCATTTGCTCCCATTTTGATCCTTTGCCCACCATCCTCACCATGGCACAAGGGGGCTCAATAATGTAGCTTTGTCTCTATAAGGAAAAGATTGAATTTTGCATAAAAATGAACATATATTGGTTTTAAATGAGGGTCTTTGGACAGAATATATTAGACCAGTATCTATTTTCGAGTTTATGATACCTATTTTTTTGCTAGGGATTCCAAAGCATAGAACATTTTATATAGCATAGCAAAGTTGTATTTAGTTCTTGACATTAGGTCAGATAAACCACCCCTTCCAAGAATCTCAGCAAAATGTTGTACATGTATTGGAGCGCCATGGCTGGCACAAAACAGACAGTTACTTCAAAACCACAAAGAAGTGGGAGCCCAAAGAATTCCTTTCTGCAATTCAATAAACAAGAGGAAAGATGTACTGTTTGCTGGCTCAAAATAGACACTAATTTTACATCTGTCTCTGAGGCACAGCAAAAAGCCAACTAAAGAGCAGTAATAAATGTCCAAAAACAGCATCAGTATCCAAAACTCTCACAGTAATCTTCAGAGGAATTAATTACAATTCTGTGTAACAGTTGCATTGGCAAAATGCACCCATAATTATGTACAGGTACTGTACTGTATTACAGGGAAATTTGCCATGTGATACCATGTTTACATGATAATTGATGGATAAGATAAAACTATTTGCATATGAAGTGCATATGAATTATTGGCATGGCTCACCATTTTATGTGGAATCATATTAAAGTTTCATTTTCTCTAAAACTGTATGTGTAATATGGGGTTACCAAAGGGTATAAAGCCGATACTTAAATTTGCTTTATAGCAAATGGGCCTGGAAAGATATATCTGAATATGCATTGCTAAAAACCTATATATAAAAGCCTTCATAGTTTATCTATAATAAGCACTATTTTTGTTTCAGATTACATTATATTCAATACTCTCTATTCTTCCAAGTAAACAATACTCTAAATTGTATTGCTATGCCAATTAATTTTATAGTCATATGCAAAAAAAAGATTTTCTTTATTGCCTTTAGATATAGCTTTTATTTGCAGATTTTGTATTCTAGTGACATGTCATAGAATAGAAGCAAAATCTGACATTTTTATAATGTCCATACCTGCTGGAAAATTTCAGCATTTGCAAAAATGGCCTATCATAGCATTTAAACATTGCTGATAATTAGCTTGACATTTGAAATACCAGAACTGTTGTTTTGAAGATGCCCTATACAGTGTTACCTAACTAACCCTTTTTCCTGTTTAAATGCTTTCTCTACATTATCCTGTCAGTTACAGTACAAATAAGATATCATTTGCTAATGTATTAACATGCAAAAGAACTGAAATGAAGGGGCTATGCTTCATTTTCACTAGAAGTAGAAGTTCTATTGATGTAAAGGAAAAGTGCATATGCAGATTATAGATGGTTAATTGTTAATAAGGTGGTCACCAGTGATTTCCGATAATTCCACTTAAGTATGCCCATAAGTTTTTCAATGCCATCATCAAACATCATTTATTAAATGTGGCAAATCCAGAAGAATCAGAAGGTGCTTTTCTCACCTCAGGAAGCTTATAGTCTACCTGCAGAAACGGAATCGTAAAATTGTGGCGCTAAAAGGACCCTCGGCGTCGACCTTGGAGGTAGTACAAAGGAAGGAAATAAGCAAGGTGAGGTCGAATGGCTTGTCGAAGTTTGTACAGCCTGTTGCTGGGAAGGGTGGCACTATAAAGCATGTCTTCAGGCACACAACAGCACGAAAAACATACCCACGAATACAAACTCCCAGTGAAGAGTGCAATCTGAATTGAAACGCCATGTGTTCAGAGTAAGGGAACGGAAATCCCTGGGACTTTTGG